GCTAATCTTATCAATCAAGATCTTTTTTGTTTCATCATTTGAAATTGGTATTTTCTTTTCATATATACTAATAATACTTGTTTCTATAGACAATATTTGCTTTTAATTCAAATACTTCTTGATCTCAAGCTCGATGTGATGCATTATGTCTTATTTAGTTTCATTTACCTGTTATATTAATTATTAGTAGTGATCCTTTATGCTTCTTTTCTAAGTTATTTTGCCAATTTTTATGATAGGTAGTTGCCTTAATCTTAATTTATATTGCTCATCAAAATTATTTATCACTTTCACTGTCCTATTATTATAGTAAGTATTAAAAATATTTTTTAATATTTTTTATTCTTTTTCCAATTCTTTTTAATATAATTGTACATATACTAATCACTTATTTTTTACTTATTTTATAATAATATTTAAAGTTGTCATTCATATTAGTAATGTAGTTATACCTTCCTTCTAATTCTTTATATACTTATTTAGCTTGTACAGAAATGAATATTTGATACTTAGATATATAGTTAAATATTTTTCTTGATCTTAACCAGTATATTTAATAGCTTCTTTTATTTAATGTTAAATTCATTTTATTCTTGTTATTCTATTATTTTTTTATAAATACTATGTCTTTACTGATTATAATTAAACCCATAACTAAACCCTAATAAATAAAATTCATATCATTAATAGTAGTCTTACTATATAAGTATAATGACAATAATAGATAAAAAAATTAATTAATGAATGTAATTGCAAAACAATATATCAAAAATAAATTATTATATCAGTAATTACCTGTTTGAAATTTTTATATTGATTTTTGTATACATAACATGTGCATTTCAAACTTATAAAACTATGATCTAACAATAAAAAAATATATATCAGTATAAAACAACAGCAATAATTTAAATGGTTTTATACTAATATCAAAAACTAAATACTTATTATACTCTGTTATTGAAAAGCTTAAAGTTTTGCAATATACAAAACAGAATAGTTTTAGAATAGCCAAATGCCATTTTGATATTGATCATTTAATAATTTCTTGTTAATATAAAAATAAAAAAAAACTTGAAGCCACAAAAAAGAAAGGTTAATGAATTATGAAAACCTAAAAAGAAATGCATAATATTTTGAGGCTAAAGTTGACTTGAATATATACAGTAAATCCTTGAATATTGACAAGACAGAATTGCTATAACTACTAAAGTTGCTAAAACTTATATGAAAGAACTTTTCAAAAAAATTTTGCCAATATTTATCCAGATGCTGATAAAAAATTTCTTGCTTCAAATCATTAGTTCTATGATTTTTTAAAAAGATATGATCTTTCTTTGTGGCATAAAACAAAAGTTGATTAAAAGTTTCCTGTATATCTTAATTATAAACTTTTGGAATTTCATTAATTTATTATTGAAAATGAAAACAATTTGAATATACATGTAATTTTTTTGAAAATAGAAAATATGAATGAAATATATGTTTGTTTTGATATAGTTCAAAATTTAACTATTGATAAGCTTAATGCAAAAATTGGTTAAATTTGAACAACCAGAAATAAAAATAATCAATTTACATATGTTTTTACAATACTAGTAGATGGTATAAAATTATTACTCATGGTTATTTTTAAGGATAAATTGATGCCAAAGATTTATCATCAAAAATTCCTATATCTATATTTCCAAAAGAATGAATAGATGAAGCTGAAATAAAAATTTGATTTAATAAAATATAAAAAAGTGACCTGGAAAAAATCAAGTTGCAAAACCAAAAAGTCTTTTAGTTTTAGGTAGTTTTGAAAGTCATAAAACTGATTTTATTAAAAAATATTAATTTAATAATTATTTTAAGAAGTCTTACTTCTATTGTTTAACCATTAGATATTAGTATCAATAAGCTATTTAAGGATAAACTTTGTAAATAATAGAATATTTGGATAAGTTCAAATGTATTTACTTATACTAAAGGTGAAAATATAAAAAAACCTGCACATAATATTGTTTGCAAGTAGATTCTTGAGACTTGGAATAAAATTTCAAAAGAAATAATAATAAAATTATTTAAAAACTATAATATTAGTAATGCAATAAATGGATCTAAAAGAGGTTTATTTGGACAAGAATTTGAAAATATTAAAGAATATAATAATAAAGAATATGAGATATTAGATAGAAATAATGAATCTGTGATGAATTAAATAAATTAAAAGATAATTCTAAAGATGAAAAATAAAATAAATTTATAATAATAATAATATTTTTTTATAAGTATTTATAATTTTAATTAAAATAAATAATAAAATAATTATTTTATTTTAAGTAGTGCTTATATTTATTTTTATACTTTTTTTATGTAATCAAGATAATGCTTATAATAAGCAGTTTATGATATATTAAATATTTTTTTACTTGAGACATATATTTTAGTTAATCAATGTTTTTCCTTTATAAATATTTTAAAAATAATTTTAAATTATAGATATTAAAAAATAAGTAATTAGTTAAAATTATTAGATTTAATATTATCGTTTATATTATTAAATTAGATATTTTTTAATTAAAAAATACTGTAACCTTTTCATTTTTATTATTTTCTTATAATATCATTTTTATTATTTTGATATCTTATTAAAAAAATTATTGATATAGTAACAATAACTATAATTGGATAATATAAAGTTATTTTAATATTTATAACCATATTTGTGTTAAATAAAGTTAAATTATATTTTTATAATTGTATTTACAACAATTTTAAATCAGTAATACAAAAAAGTCTTATTATATACAATTTTTATAAACCTTTTTATACTAATAATATATTATTGAGAAAAAAATTTTATATTAATAGATTATAACAATAAACTATGCATTTCCAGGTATATAATTGTAATTTGATTAATTTTAATTTTTATAATTTTATATCATGTTTTCTAAATTATTTATAATTTTATGTTATTTGCATATTTTCACAAAATTATAAATCTTATTTTTAAAAACTAAAAATTTAAACAAAAATACAAGAAATCAATTAACAATAATTTTATTTTGTAAAATTCATGTTATCTGATTTTAATTTTTTTTAAATTTATTGTTTATTATAACTGTTACATAACACATTTTTTAAATTCTTGTCAAAGATAAAAGTCAAGTTACAATTACTTTGCTTTGTACAATCTAAATGTGACATATAAATTATATATATAATATATATATCTTTATTGTTATTTATTTGCAAATATATATACGGTATATTATTTTATTAATAGTATAGATAAGAAGATAAATAATATCTGACAAGATAAAAAAAAGATAAAAGCTATAAATAAATTGGAATTACAAGTCTGTAATCTTGTAATTAGATTATAATCCTGTACACTGTGCATGTCCAAAAGAAATAGTAAAGTTAAAGTTAAAATCTAAACTTGTTGATTAACTGGGTCAACTGTTATTTGCATTGCACAAACAAGTTAGAACCAGGTTAGCCTAAGGATTGGCAAGACACGGTTCAAAAGTAATTTGCCAATTAAACAAGTTACAATGACCAAGTCAAAACCACCTCAGGAGTTATAAACCTTTGTTTTATTGAATTTTTATGGGATGCGGTGTGGGTTGAGACACAACATAGCGACAGACTCGCCAACCACCTTATAACAATATACAGTATATAGTATATTCACTGAAAATTGATTACAGTATTGGACAAAACGAAAAATAGTTATACACTTATTTTTTATTAAATAATTCAAATGTAAATATTTTGCAAATATGCGATAATTACAGGAATTTTTTGAACGCTAAAATCATGGTTCCAGAATTTTTATCATGTACGTAATATTTAAAAATTAGTGATCAAAAAAATTTATTGGCATTTAGTCTCCTTCAAGGATAATTGTCCATACATTATTACGCATTTATGCATTGAAGGCGTTATGACAAGATCAATTCCGTATTTTGATTTCCGTGTTTGTTACGATAATCTCTAGAGAACTGTGTAATGATGGTTCAAAGAGTATAAATTTAGGTTTCTTTAATAATCATAATACAGTATATTATATTCTTTATAATAAATATTCAAGGTAATCCTGAATTTTGTGCTTTCTTGTACGCTTTATGCAACATTCACTCATTTTGCATCGACGAAAGTATACAATTTTCGATAGTGTGAAATGTGGCTAAATTATTTTAACCGATGAGATCGTATTTGCAAAGGTTAGACTAAAAATGCATTTCCTTTTCCTACATTAATATATATGTACAATATTCATGTCTCTCCAGGAGTTGCATCATTCCACCTTCCATATTTATACCAAAGTGAAGCAATGTGACTGCAGGAACCAATCACTTCGGATAACTTCTTTATAACTCCGTCCGCATAGTAGCAGTGATTAAGTTGCTATTTGAGGGTAAGGAAAATGCTCCCCATGCGTCACTCGCGCAGCATCCCTACCGCGGCCGTGCAAGTACGTGTTTTCGGTGGAATTTCCGAATTATGTCCTTCGTATGAATGTTAACGAATTTTGCAAAATTTTAAATAAATCTCGCGGAACCATTATAAAAATTTATTGTAAAATTATAAATTATTTATTTAATTTCTATAAATTATTGTAAATATTTATTATTTTCTATAAATTATTGTAAATATTTATTTTTTTCTCGCGTTTCACGAAATATGTTAAGTCTCAATCACGTGAATCATATAACTCGGAAATTTCACTCGAAAGCACACCTCCACAGGTGCGGTAAGAATGTTGTTCGAGTGACGCACGGAGAGCAATTTTTTGCACCCCAAAATAGCAACTTAAACTCTGCTGTCCACATATACTGTACTTAAGTGTGAGTTCCTTCTCCGTCTAATAGAATATTTGGTAATAATCATGCGCCTTCTTACAAAGAATTTGTAAACATAAATAACAATGTGTACGTCTCATAAATATAAATACAGAATGTAAAAAATCCACTTTTTGGTTTATTCAACATTACAAGATTAAATAAATGGAAGTTGTAAAAATTGATATTATATTCGAAGCTTGCTTGCAAGTGCTTAAGAAGGTTATTAGAGATTTGCACATAAGCTTAGAAGTGAATATCAATAATAATAGCACTTTATTACTTTGCGAGCGTCAATTATTTACAGTTAGTGACATTAAAAAATCAATGGCGAATAATGTTGATCCTTCAAAAACAGATACTGCGTAAGAATTATTGACTTCTTTATTACGGTTAATATATACAGCAATTAACTTTATTATAAAACAGAAAAATTTCAGGAAGGCTAGTATCAAGAGGCATACTGTCATATAAAGTAAAGGAGAAAAAATCTTTTCATTATCTTGTAATTACTTGGGCTGTAAGTATTTTATACTCCTATTTGTTAAGGGATCGAAAATATAACTCATTTAATCAGATAATAGGTCAAAACCAAACTGGAGAAAGGAAAGAATTCAATAACAGTCACCACAACGAATAAAAAACCTGAAAGGGAAAGTAAAGATGAATTATATAATGATTTACATAAAAAGAAGAACAGAAAATATGCCGGAGACTACATTGATGTTAATGACCAATCTTATCGTATATCAGGAGACATTAATGACGGGTAAATACAATTAATATTCATAACATTATTAAGTTTTGTTTTAATTATGATATTTATTTCAGGGAAAATGTGACATTGAATATTGTTTTGAATGACATCAAAAATGATTGGCGGTGCGAGATTATGTAGTTCCAGTCTTGTCACTATTATTTTACTATTTTTTGGTGTCAAGACCAATATAATCAATATACAGTATATGGGTAATTTTTTTTGAAGGCGACAAGAATGTTAGATATGATTTTTTCGGACCCGACTTTCAAACAATACATATATAATATAAATTTTAGGATCACACCAGAAAATTTCCGATCCGCCTTCGAAAATAATTACCCATGTATATATATAACAGGCTTTGATTTGAATAAAACCGGAAAACACTTGGTCAAAAACAAAAACGCCTCTATATTATCAAAATCCACTTACCTTAATAATGGTTACGCCGATTAACAGTGGTTTTTGCACATAGAAACTTACGGATTGAAAGAATAATATCAGAAATGCTGTATATAATGTAACCAAGAAAATATGTACAATCTGTTACTGTGCTAATGTCTCTTCTTTTTTCTGAACATTGTGATATATTGAGTGTATAACATTGTGATGTAACACGAAACGATGATGAAAAGGATGATGTTAATGATGCAAAATTTGAATAGTAGTATTGGTAAAGAGTTCTGTTTAGAGACTCCCATTACTAAAATTCACACTTGTTGAATAAAGGCTACTTTTTACCGTACATAATTAACTTGTGACCTTAGGAAATTATTAATGGTCAAAGTTCCAAATGAGTCGGTTAAACTCAGATAACTTGATTACGTAATAATTGACCTGACAAATCACAGAAAGTACTATATAATATTGACTTCATAATATGTTAAAAATAAGAAACCAAAGATATATAAAAGCAACCTACTTTGAAATTTAAAACATCTATTAGAGATTTTCGGTAATTTCAATGTCAAGATGTCAAATGTTTCGTTTAGCAAAAAAACAACCTTGAGACAACTTGGCTAAAAAAAAATTGATTTTACTTAATGAACGCGTCTGCACAGGCGATATTATTTACTATTCAATAAAGAACATTTAAAATGTCTCATGGAGATTCGTGATAAATTTGATCTTCAAGAATATGTTACGAAATTTAATTGGTGTTATTATCGCATAAGTAATTTTTTTGTTATACAGTATATTAAACAAAATTACAGGTACAGTATACGTATGGTGTCAAAAGGGTAAAATTGTGACGCGACTCCGGTCACGTGACTAAACGCCGCGATACAGTAGTGCCGCGAAGGACCCGTTCCTACCTTGATACTTGAGGTAGTGTGATAAAAAGTATGTAAGCGAAAAGTTATGGGAAGTGAATAAAATAGTAACAGAAGCGTGTTAGGAAGTCAGATGATGAGGGGAGAATTGTGAAAAGTGATTAAGTAATATTAATCAATGTGATCGAGCATTATGTAATAGGAGAGACATTAGGTAATTCGATGTTGCGATATTTTTTAGAATGTAAAGTCGTCCCAACTAAAAATGCATAAAAAGATGCAAGTAAAAATAAATAAAGGACAGTGAATTATCTTTTTACTCAGCCAAATCGAACACGCCTGAAAATCACAAAATTCACTATTTCATCGACAGTTACACGACACTCTGCTCACTTTAGCGACTCGCCGAACGACCGTCACAATAGCAACGCGATAAGCTTATTATTTAAGGTTTAAAATTTATTTAATAATTGTGAGAATACAATTGTTTTCATATTTCTGTTTCCTAATTATCAACACAATTTTAAATCTTAATCACCCATAATTTTTCGAACTTAATTTCGTTTATTTACAATTAAATTACATAACGCGTTATAGTATTGCATTGCGCCTCTGTGTTCACCTACCCTACAAGCAATTTGATCAGAATTACCACGTCGAGATCATGAGCCTTCTGGTGAGTCAGAATAATTATAGGGTAAACGAACCCAAAAGATTTTGGTACCAGAGCACAAAGGGGCACCGTAAAAGGTTTAAAAGCAATAAAGAAATAAGCACGGGAGGTTACAGAAGCGGAGAAAAAAAGACAAAGAAAAGAGGAGAGGTTTGTCTGATATTATCCTCTTTTTCTTTCGAGTTGTTTTCCCTTGATATTTTTATTAAATACAATTGTTTCTTTAGTGCATTAAAAAGGGAAATACAGTATGTATTGATCTTAACATTCGTTTATCAAACTTCAGTGATCAAGATCAAGATGTAATTCAAAGTGCTGCAGGTGACATTCCGTAAATTTTAAAGAATGATTTGCCCAAGGATTTTGACAAGAAAAGAGATATATTTACGCAGCTAGTGAATCTGAGGAAAAAAATAAATAGCAGATTATCATCCTGGGATGCCATTGTGAGAGGGAGAAATGGAACGCGACGTCAGTCACGTGATCGATCGTCGTGACTATGGTGAGTCAGCTGTGATAAATAGGTAATAAAGAAAGGACGGGAAGGATTGTGAAAAGAATTATGTACAGTAATTTAGCTTTAGCCATGTCGCTGTATCATCAATTATTATTATGTCTAAGCCGCCATAGCCAAATGTAAAATATAAATAACATGTAAAGTATAGAGAAGGAGAGAAGGAGACACGAAATTAGAAAGTAAAAATTAATAAAGACTCGGTCAAATAAAAATACTAAAGTTAGCGACTGACTCGCCGTTACACCATGACACCATGAATGACAGTGAATTTTCAGGAGATTAATGATGAAATTTGAGTTGTCGAAGTATTCAATGAAGAGGAGGAAGAAGAATTTTAAAAATACAGAGTTGAGTCCGAGGAGGAGGATGTGTAGAAACATTGGCAACGGGTGTGTTCGGTGTTAGTCAAGTTGAGGATAAAGAAGATAGAGTTTTATTCAGATGAAGAAAACGAAGGGTTCCGAACTTTATTGGTCCATATACTGCAACCAAAGGTCACTGGTGTCAGGTTTTACAAAAAATATCCGCATAATATTGATGCCTTCTGGCTTTAGTATCTAATATCAAATTACTATCCGGATTCACCACACCGCACAAGAAAAGACGGTAGAAACACTCATACTGCGAAAATGAATTAATGAAGATATTGACAAGAAATAGTGAATTAATTTTATGGTGTACGAAACTTGACAAAGCTAGTACAGACAACGCAAGATTTGCAAGCAAGGATTAGAATGTATTTTTAAAGAAATTCGAGAAGAGAGAATTCATCGTGGTGATGGTTCCTTTCGAAAAGGTGTGATTAAAGACAAATAGAAATAAGTGCTTCTGTTAAGGCTATTTTTCCTCTGGTAATGACGAAGACACCTAAAGTTGTAATTGATCTCGAACTAATAAGTGCAAGCTGCCGGATGGATCTCATAAGATTTCTAGGGCATTGAAGATATATTGATTTTGCTGAGAGTGCGGGCGAACGTATCCGTTGTTATTTGTGAAGAGACCGAGTGCGGAAAGGTAATAATTGTTATGTATTATTATGTTTTTTTAAGAGTATCAAGGAGAATGACATTTCGTAATTAATGACCGAAGTCAAACAAAATGCTAGGGGGGAGAATCCCTTGTCTTACTGCATGTTGTTTCTCTTGATAATCTTTTCACAAGTTCCTTTTGTGGCCTCTTTGTTATTCTTCCTAAGCTGGCAGCTACTCAAAAAGGATGAATTATTGTTATGTGACCAGCTTTACTTGCAGAAAAGGATTTTAGAACTCACGTAAAATAATATCCTATTTTACGTTATTCCTGAAATTTTGAAATATTGTTAAAAGTAAAAATCAAAATATTGTAATTCTATTTACGTATCCGTCAGTGATGCCCCCATGCACGTAATAATATTAGTTATAAGGATTTATGTAATCTCCAGGATATTTTCTTTTCTCTTTGCATGCAAGCGATAGCATAAGTTATGAAACCTTTTTTCTTTCGGTTCATATCAGGCATGGTGGCTGTTATTGCGTTTTTTCCTCCCTTAAAATTGGGTTTGACCTATTTTCTAATCAAATGTATCAGAATTTTGAACTCTTGAATAATGCGCTTTTAAAAATACCTACAACCCATGTAATATAAGGTGATGATAATTTCATCTTCATCTTGCACTTCAAATGATAGTGTGACTGGGGAATAGTTTTGGCGAGGCGTTCGATTTGACCGAGGTAAGTAACTTCTCTTTATTAATTTACTCTAGTCACCACTATCTGTGTTCTTCTTATTTTAAAAAATAAATGCTAACATTTTATAGTTTTTTACAAGGAAAGTTTAAGAACAATTTGGAAACATGACGAAAGGTAAGGGAATTTCTACTACTTTCTGGCACTATTATCTAATCTAACACCAATTACATCATTATTATTTCGTTACAAGCGCCGGTTTCAGATCTATTTTTACCTTCCTTTTCTTCTCGCGATCCCGGGTCGATCGTCGGTCACGTGACCCCAATAGCGTTACTATTGTTTTTATTCTCCCTCTCACAATAGTATGCCTTTGAGGCAATTGTTTCTGAAATTTTTCTGCTTTGCGATTAAATCATAAGAAGAAAGAAATTAACAAATGCTTACGCATTGCAATAAGAAAAGGGGGTCAATATCATCACATATTTGTTCTTCGACATTAATTTCAGCGAACAATTCTGACTTGCAAAGTTTTAAACTACTGTGCTTGTTATAAACATTGATACAGTAGGCATCAATAAAAAACGCACCACCGATATGATTGAACCTAAATAGCATATATCGTTGCAAGCAAAAATCGAATAACTTTAAAATTTTATTTGTATTGATAATAATATAAATCTAATAAATGATATAACCTTTTACTATTGATTCCTTGAAGAATCAATCCATATTTATATGGGTAATTATTTTCGAAGGCGGACTGGAAATTTTCTGATGGGATCCTGAAATTTATACTATATATGTATTGTTTAAAAGTTGGATCCGAAAAAATCATATCTAGCATTTTTGATGCCTTCAAAAATAATTACCCATATACTTAAAGGTTTCAATCTTTTCTTACAAAGATATATGCTATTTAGTTTCGATCATATCGGTGGTGCGTTTTTTTTGACGCCTACTGTATTAAAGCTTATGATTTTTTCTTTAAATCCTTTCACGAATATACCAAATAAATTAATGAATTTTATAAGTTCTATTTTTACGACAACCAATGTTTCAAGAAAAAACGTCTTCTATAAATCACCGTGACGTTGTACATATGCATCTTTTCTCCGAGTAGGAAAAATCCGTCAGCAGTGTTTTTTTTTTAAAAAAAAAATGTCAAGTGAAACATCTTTAATAGCTACTGCCTATTAAGAATATTAAAAAAGTTATTTTTAATTTGAATTCATTTCAAAAATTTATGTAAATTAGGCATTACACGAATGATGTGAATATACAATGCACCGTATTTGTTCTATTAATATTTTTAGATTTTTTTGCTTACAAATTTTTCTATATTAATTCTTTTTTTAAAAAAAATGTGTGTCAAACAATAAGGATAATGTTCTATGTCGTAACCTTATACAATTTCTCCTTGTTTCCACTCAAAACTCTGTTTACTATGTTGCCGATTACTGTATGCAGCTTCTGCTGTTTTGGATTTACATTGTGTGACTTGCTTCAAACTGTAAGGGGTAAAGAATGGAATATTATTCTCGCGTACTTGCAATTGCGAGATGTGGTTCAGGACAACTGAGATAGGTAATAGAAGGGTAATACGGGTCTGAGAGACCTTACGTGCCGTGCAAGATGCCACCATTGTCACGTGATCTAGTTACTCTGGAATATTCCTTCTCCGTTCTATAAAGTACAGCATTTAGTAATACGTATCATGTGCATTCTTATGAGGAATTTGTAAACAAATAAATAACGAATGCGTGTAACATCTTATAACTATAAATACTGTATGTTTTGGGGGTTTATTTAATGTTGCAAAACTAAATAAAATGAGTGACGTTATAAAACTTGATGCTCTACCCGCTGTTTTCTTTGTCGCTCTTAAGGAAGTTATTAAAGATTTGCACACAAGCTTAGAAGTGAATGTTGTCAATAACCACAGCACTTTATCACTTTGTCAGCCCGAATTTTTTACGACTAGTAATGTTAATGATTTAATGACAGATGATGTTGTTCCTTCAGAAAGAGCTAACGTGTAAGTATTCTTGGATTCTTTATTGCGGTTAATATACAGTATATAGACATTAACTTTATTATAAAACAGACAAATTTCAGGAATGCTTGCATCAAGAGGCATACTGTCATTTAAAATACAAGGAAAAATTTTTTTTCATTACCTTGTAATTACATGGGCTGTGAGTATTTCTGACTCATATTGATTAAGGAGTCGAATATATAACTCATTTAATCTGATAATAGGTCAAAACTGTCATGAAGAAAGGAAGGAATTCAATAACCGTCTCCATAATGGATAATAAACCAGAAAGGAAAAGTAGACTTGAATTATACAACAACTTACATAAAAAAAATGATAGAAAATATCCCGGAGACAACATTAATTTTATGGACTCGCATTATCTTATATCTGGGGGCATTACTGACGGGTAAATACGATTAATATTCACTACACTATTAAGTTTTGTTTTTAATGATACGGTATATCAATTTCAGGGATAATGCAAGACTGAAAATTATTTTGAAAAATGTCGAACTTGAAAATACTGTCAAAACCTGCTTATGCCATATACTATAGATGCTGTAACTGTGATCGGCGAGTCGGTCTCTAAGGAAAGTTCAGATTCGCGTAACCGTTATTGGGCAAGTAAATGAAAGGGTGATTTGAGGCGTGTTTGTATTTGACCGAGTCTTTATTAATTTTCTCACTAATTTCTTGTCTTGCTTCCTTACATTTAATTACATTCTTTTATACTTCTCTTTCTTTGCACTTGGCTATGGCGGCTTGGGCATAGGACAATAAGCTATAGTACAATGACGAGGCTTTAAAGCTATCTTACATAATTTCTCTCGTCAATTTCTTTCGTCACTCGTTATTACCTAATTATTACAGCCAACTTACCATTGTCATGACGAGTGGGCACGTGACTAGCGTCGCGTCCCATTCTCCCTGTTACAATGCTTAACTTTATTTTGCAAATTTAACAACTATTCATATACATGTTTTTAGACTACACAAACTATTCTCGCTATTTCTACATTTCTGTACTTTTAGAGATCTATGAATTCTTTAGATTTATAATTATCTGATTATATAATTGGCATCAATCCCGATCTTTACAATATTTAAAAATTTTTTCTTTTGTTCATATTTTTTAACACTTCTTTATTTATTGTAGAATTTTAGAAAAAACATAACTATATATTCTATTGGATTAACAGTACTTGCTGTATTTTTTCTAGAGATACATCTTTTGCTAATAAAAAAAAACAAGTTGAAAATAGTTATTTATCCTTAAACAATTAACTTAAATAATTATAACAAGCAAATAACAGGTTTGTTACTAATGTTAACAATAATTTGTACAATGATAAGACATTATTGTTTGACCAAGTTGTACATAATAATTTTTATAATACTATTGTTACTACTCACAGATATTAATTTAATTAATTATGCGAGAATCAGATTTCGATATTTTGCAAAGATTCCCTACATAACTAATAACAATATTATTGTTAATTTTATGGCATCCGTGATTTTTTATACTCATATTACCTTTCCATTGCACCATTTTTATAATATTGTGTTATATTTTATAATATCTAATGTAAATACAAAAGAATGGTGTTCTTTTATTTTACGCTTAATAAAAGTAAATTGTATATGCTATAAAATCATGTCTATATCTTTAAATAATTAAAAAAATTAATTATATCTTTTATTATTATAATAATAAAGCATATTATATAAGATTTATTAAACAACATATCTATTGTCATTATATTAATTTTTTCGCAATATCAAAAACAAAAATTAATATCAATCCGTTATAGAGATAACTAGATAATAATACTATACAGTAAAAAGACTATAGAAATAATTTATAAATAATTTATACCTAATCATAAATAACTGAATTTATATAATTATCAAATAAAAACTTTTGAAATTTAGAAAATTCCAGAATAAATTATTTAATTGAATTTTTTATATTATTATATTTTGAGCTTTTAGTGTAAAAAATATTTTTTTCAAAAAAAACTACAAACTAAAAATTCAAAATAGTCAATATTAAAAATGTGTTTTTTTTTAACTTGAATAATATTTTTATATGACTAAAAAATAAAATTTGACAAATTAGCTATTACTTATTTTTCTTGTGATATAATTAATTATTCATAATAATTATTTTAACAAAAGCTTTTAATATAACCTTTGTCTTCTTAAAATTCAAATAAAACTCAATTATACTATTAAAATTTTAATTAAAATTGGTTGACTGCTAATATATTTTTAAATATTGAAAAAATAGATTATTTTTTTTAAGAGGCAAACTATACACTAATGTATATCTTTTATTAATACTTAATATATAAGTTATACATCGAGTATCTTCTAAGTATAAAGTTATTTTTACTAGTTATATAGTATACCTTCTATATAAATAGAATCAATATTGCCTATTGATTATTACTGGTAATAGCCAACCTAATTTATCTCTAATTCAGTTATATATCTATTTAAACAGCTTGTAGATGTGTTCACTTGCCAGGTGAAATCTTCTACAGGAAGTAAAAATTCTATTACTAGTTTATACCACCTATTTACTAGATTTTGCTATAATTGTGTCTACTATTACAGAAGCAATATGAAATGTTATTATAGAATTTAGTCTTAATTATTCTAATATCTTGTTATCATTAATTCTCAATATATAACATTAGCCTATTATGGTACTATTTTTTTATTACCTGTAATATTGGTATTTTTGCTTAAATTCTAATTTAATCTTGTATTAATCCTTATTAAACTCATTTGACTTAATAATTTTTATCTAGCTTTTTATCACTTGTGATTAATAATCTTTCCTTATATGGACTAATATTTTTAACTTCCTTTTATAAAACACTACAATTGGACTAGGTCTCAAAGCATCAGATTAAAATAGATCAATTTGGAACTAATTACTTATGATTTGATTTGCACAGAATCTGCTATATTAATTTTAATTGTAGGCTTTATTATAATTAAACCAGAAGTCTTTTCTTATGCAACCTTTTTTGTTTTGTTTTTTTAATCCATAATTATTAAGAAAATCAGAGATTTTATGCAGCCTAACTTTATTTGGTCAGGATCTAGATATTTGAATATTCCATAGTAAAAAAAACAGTAAATATATATACAAATGAAATTTACATGACTTTTTCCTATAGGTATTGAATTAGAAACATGAATTTGAAGATCTAGAAGTACCATTCATTGTACTGTTGATCTACAGATTTGAAAAAATATTTGAATTATTTTATTAATTGAATAAAACATAAAAATTTTTATTGATATTAAAAACAAGACTGAGATTTTATTTATATAATATTTTCTATCATTAGCAAAGAAAAGAGTATTGAGAGTAAGTGCTCTAATTGTAAGTAAGGCTTATTAAACATACTTCCATGTGGTAAGCTTGAATTACCTTCCTCTGGTTCAGAGTCATACATAGCTCTGAGTTCCAAATCCATTAGACACAGGTGTGTGACAAAAATCAATATAATAGTAATTAATAAGCTTTTGGGGGAAAAGACTGGAGAAATAGTTTGTATTTTTCGCTTTTAAGTATGTATGTTTTCCTTATAGTGTTGTTTGTAATTCTGCCATTTTGCCGGTTGGTTCCAAAGTGACCTGATATCTTTCTCCAAACTATCATCCTGATCGGATTGAGCTTGTGGATCCCCTTCAGTATTGTTTTGAGCTTGTGAATCCTCTTGAACATTATCTTGTATTTGTGAGTTGGTTTGTTTATTAGTTGTCTCGTTATTTGTCATGATCGTAAAAGCGCGACCGGAATCTTGGAGTGGACTGCTAACCAGATAAAAACTGTATAGCGTTAAAGGAAACAAGTCACTTCCTATATTTATAGTTTAAAAAAAAAAGATATATTCATTACATCGATCTGTAATACTAGACTGATAACTAATAAAAGGCTAATTAGAACAATATATGCAGTGCTATCTTGAGCGACATTTATAAATGGAACCGATCGTTCAAAATCCCTGTCATATGTATCAACAAGAAATAAAGTTAAAAATTAAGATATAAGGGATATTTTTGCAAAGATATAGACTTACTTGCAAAGCATGCATTGCATATGTGGCTTTAAACCAGTAAGCATATTGTAGCTCACCATATGTCGCATTAATTTCAAGGATTATATTAACGCGATTATGTACTGTATGTACTTAGCTTACAAATATTGTTTTTTATGACACGTGTAGCATGCTACCTCACGAAACGAGAACGAAGAGAAGTAGATAAAATATAATTTATCATTAATCTTAAATATAAAGCATGACATAAGAACATGCCAGATATTCTAGTAACATTAAAAACTTTAATTAATAAAATAGCCACAATTTTATTTCTTAGTTTTATTTTTTAATCGGATCTTAATTTATGTTTAGTTGTTTAACTACAGTATAAACATTGCTTTATTTTTTTCCGATTTTCGAATTTCCATATGCCGGAAACAAATTTAAAATATATTTATACAATATAAATTACTATAATGCGGAAATTTCACTCGAAATTATTGTAAGTGCACCCACCACGAGTGATGCATAAAGAACATTCCCCTCTGCAGCCGTAAATAGCAACAAAAACATCTCCGTATTAAAAAAATGTGATTATGAAACATAATTTACTTTGGTGTAAAATAATTAATAACTCAATTCATATTATGTGCAAACACGATATTCTCGGACTTTTTACCTTAATCGGACAATTTATAGTTGGACTTTTATTAATTGTGAAACAACAAAGTAAAACACTCCGTTTAACCATTGTAACGGTGATCGGCGAGTTTGTCGCTAATGAAAAGCTAAGATTCGTGCAACATTTGTTAGGTGAGAATGGTATTATTTTGTTAAGGGTGAGGCAGATTTGATGTTGGCTGAAAAACTTTTTAAGACTCAGACTACTTTTCCTTTGTTCAATTTCTTCTTTCTTTTATACATTCTTGCACACTCATTACATAATAAAAATGATAAATACAGATTAAGCAAAAACTATAAAAATCTCATGACGAAGCAATTGCTATTTAATTTTCACACTACTCTTATTACATCTTTATATTAATCGATCCCATAGTGCCATTATTGATCCTTGCATGACCTGGTCACGTGGCACTCATTGCGATTGCGTCGCGATTCTACTTCCTTCTAACATTTCCCTTTCTTCAGTCTCACGCTAGTTTTCCATCACGCTCATAGTGCTTGATACCGCTGTTTTCTTCCCAATATCGTGAGGAACCCAGAATTCAGTGTGAGGCGCGTTACTTTTTTCCGTGTTACACCATACATACAATAATTGTAATGCGTAAATGGAAAATGGTATGATTCCTGTATACCACATCATGATGGTCATTTTATAAAGTGTTGAGAAATTATTCTTTCAATCTCATTAACGAAATGGATATAATAAAACCTAATAGTTTGCCCGATACAATAGTGCAAGATTAAAAAAAGCTATTCGTGATTTGCATGTAAGCCTAGAAATTAATGTTATAAATAAAAACGAATCTTTGAATCTTTGCGATCTTGAATTTTTCCGTGGATGCAAAGTTAAAATTCCAATAGAGAATAATATTGATCCCTGCCGAAAATATGTAGGTACTTAACTTTTTTTTTTTATCGTGATCGATGTATTATTAACTTTTATCATAATCAGACAAATTTCTAAAATGCTTGCTTAAAGAGGCATACTGTCATTTGTAGTGGATAAAGATAGGAAATTTTATTATCTTATAATTACAGGGGCCATGAGTATTTTGAGTTGTTTAATATTTAGTTTTTTGAGAATCCTGACATATTTATTGGAAAATAGGTTAAAACTGTCATGAAGAGGGAAGAAATACTGTAAACGTTACGATACGCAATAAGAAACTTATAAAAAAAAAATAATCGTCATTCTTATAAAATGTTGCATATAAAATATCCTAGTGACTATATTAACCCTGATAACATACATTATCGCATATCTGGAGGTATTACCGACGGGTAAAAACGATCAATTTTCTTATTTATAATTTTCGCTTTTAATAATGTCTTTTAATTTCAGGAGCAAAACAAGATTGACTATCATTTTGCATGATTCTTAAACATATTTTTTCTGTATGGAATCTTGCTCTTTGTCATCCTAACCGGAAGGGATTACTGTGTTCATGCATTATGTACATTGATGGGGGCGAAACGGCGAGTCTATCGCTAAACCGGGGCAGTGCTCGCGTAACGCTACTGTCAGTTGAAGGGTCAGTCTCTCTCTGACTTACAAACCACCTCGCCACAGATCACTCGTGGACTTATGGATTATCCTTTTGGGCGACTATCACTGAATAAGGTAGATACGTATATTGATTATGGTTTTCTTTATTTGGATCTTGCGCAACGAGTACAAATTGTAATTTATTAGCTCAACGCCGCTACTATTTATAGTAGGGCAGACGCGTCTCTTCTAGCTGCGACGCGTCATGAAAATTGACGACATATCCCAAACTCTCCTATAGTTTATTCTGATTACATCAGAGTTTAAAATTACTATGCCTATTTTATATGTCAACTACATGTAGCAATACTTCCAAGATATTCTTGCGCTTTATGCTGTTTATATCAAATGCAACGGTTACATCACGTAACTTAATTATTAAAATTTTTATTTACTGTACTTTCTTTACAACGCGTACTTATTTAAGCAGGAACGGTGCACAAATAAAGTTTATCATAGTATTGTGTATCGTAAAGGCTATCAATAGACAAATTAATATTATATTATTAATTCTCTTTTTTGTTCGCATCATTGATTCTTTGGGATAAGATGGGATCATTGCATGGTCCCTCCCTACAGATCTCGTTCTTAATTATTATTATCAGCAACCCGAAAAACACATAAGTTGTTCCACGCAATTCGGTATATTCTTAACTAATTACCAAGAAAAAAATTCGTACACAATAAAGTAATTGTGAATATGCAAATAATATAAAGTTTAAAACCATGATTTAATTATGTTTGTGCTTTCATTTTATTGAAACATAAAGGCAAATTTACTGTTATTTACACCCACCTACAAAAAAATACTATCCAAGAAATAAATCAGTCAATGAGTGTTTATTATGTGCTGTAACCTCGCATGTGAGAAATCATAAATTCAATATCCACAAATCAATGCAATCAGAAAATATATTCATAATTATAATATACCAAGCAAAATGACTAACAAGTTAAAGGTACTTGTATATTTTATATTTGAATGGATTTTTATATTTTATTCATAATAAAATGCGCGCAGTACGTCGATTATTAAAAAAATGTGACTTTAAATCAATTTTTTTAAAACAATGTACTACACATAAAATTCAATTTTATATTAAAATTGTATTTTTGTAAATATAAAAATTTTACAATATTTAAATAATGTCATTAAGATTGATTGAAAATTTTTTATAGTGTTCAATTGATTTATTTGTAATTGTTAGAAGAAGAATGATATTTTTATCTGTCAGATAAATACCGATTCATATTTTTATTTTATAATTGATTGTTTAAGATAATATTTTAAAATAAAATTTTGTAAAAAACTTAGCAATAAATTATTTATAAACTTTGAAAATGTTTTTTGAATTTGTAAAAACATATTTTTATAATAACATATATATTAAATATGTAAATATGAATACTGGTAAGTAAGTAGCACTTTCAAATAAAAACCTGCAAAAATCCGAGATAAGTTAAAAGACTTCTTTTCTACTTAAGATGTGTTCTTTAATTTAATCAATTTTTTGCCCTTAATAACAGTTCTTATTATTTCTTTATATAGTTCCTTTTGCCAATCTTTATCTTGTATTTTTAAATTGTTTCTATATTATCTTCTAAACTATTAATAATAAAAGATAAATTTATTAATGGAAAATTAATGAATTACTATCAACTATATTACAAAATTAAATCTTCGAATTAAAAATCAATTTTTTCTTTTAATAATTAATTTTGTTATTTTCTTGTATCATACTATTTCTTTTTTTACATTAAATATTATCAAAATAAACTATAATTAGATAATTTAAGAGGATTTTTAAACTTTAATGATTATATTTAAATTGAGTACTGCCTAAAGTTAATTAAGTTTTTCTATTGTATTATACAATTATTCTCAAAAAATTATATTATGTGAATATTTTCTATGGCTATTTTTTACTGATAATATATTATTAGAAAAAAATTATATTAATAAATTACAAGAATAAGACCATATAATTTTATTTTATTTTATCTTTTTTTTTTTTGTATTTTTAAACTTTTTTAAACTTTTTGTAATTTGAATATTATAAAGATATATATGTAAATTATATTTTTTCTAAACTAAAGAATTTTTATATTAAAATGCAGTATATACAATATTTATAACATACATAATATAAGTAGGGGCATTATTGTATTACACAATCTGGTATGTTATATATCCAAATCTTGATAATCAAAAGTTTATTAATAATTAATAATTTTGTATAAAATAATGATTTAGTTATGAAGGTTTACATAGTCTTTTAATTGATTTACAAAATAGTTTATTTTAATTAATAAAAAACTAAAAAGGTATTAAATAAAAGAAAGCTCTAAAACAATAATAAAAATCAATTTTTTAATTAAAATCTTAATTAAATAGCATAATAAATAAAAGTAAATTTAATAAGAACAAATCTAATTCGATACTTGTCATAATAAAAAGAATAACTAGGATCACAAATAAAAAGAAGTAATGAAAATCATTCAGGAAATATAAATAACTAAAAAAGAAGGAAAATTAATCAATACAAAACTTGTTAATAAAGAATCAACAATAATATATTGATTTGTGATTTTTCTTTTAAAAAAATCAAAACAAAAATACAATATAATATTATTTTGTAAAACTTTTCTATTATCTGATTTGACTTTTATTTACAAATTTCATTATTTATTATTCAAATCTCATTATGTTTATTTTTAAATTCTTGTCAAGGTAAAAGTCAATTTGAAGTTTCTTTGCTGATTACAATCTAAATGCGATATATAAAATATATATTCTGTTCATATAATTATTCTTCTTTATTATCTGAGAATTGATTGCAACATTGAACAAAAAAATATTTTTTAAATCTTATATAACTATGTAATTTTAGATGCTAAAATTAGCAGAGTTTAAGTTGCTATTTGGGGGTGCATAAAAAATGCTCCTGTGCGTCACCCATGCAGCACCTGTGCAGGTGTATGCTTTCGGAAGAAATTTCCGAATTATTTCCGTAGTATTTATATCACGTAAGCAATGATACTCGACAGTAGCTATAATACAAATCAAATTAAAATTTTTTATTGTAAAATTATAAATTATTATAAATAGAAAATTTCATTAATTAAAATATTTTGACAAAAAATTATTGTACTTAAGAATATTATAAAATAAATAAATAAATTATATTTTTGTTAAGAAAAAAAAAATTTTTTATTTTAATTTATATTAGTGCAATTCGGAATTTCACACAAAAGCACATATGCACAGGTCGCTGTACGAGTGATGCACGGGAAGCACTTTTCTGCACCCCAAAATAGCAACTTAAACTCTGATACGTAAGCGTGAGTTTTATAAATCTTCTCCATTCAATAAAAGTATTTAGTGATAAGCATGTGGATTCTTTTGAGAATTCGTAAACAAATAACAAGTATGTGCAACGTCTTATAACTATAAGTACTGTATGAATAAAATTATGTTTTTCAGGTTTATTTGACATTACAAAAATAAATAAAATGAATGAAGTTATGAAAGTTGGTGCTCTAGCCCCTATTGTCTTTATTGCTTTTAAGGAAATTAATAAATATTTGCACGCAAGCTTAGCAGTGGATGTTTTCAATAATCACAGCACTTTGTCACTTTGTAAGCCTGAAATTTTTACGCTTAGTAATATTAACGATTCAATGGTGGATGACGTTGGTCCTTCAAAAAGCTATAATGCGTAAGAATTCTCGTCTTCTTTATTGCAGTTAATATATCCAGCAATTAACTTTATTATAAAACAGAAAAATTTCAAGAATGCGTGTATCAAGAGGCATACTATCATTTAAAATAAAAGAGAAAAAAAAATTTCATTACCTTGTAATTACTTGGGCTGTAGGTATTTTTGACTCTTATTAGCTAAGGTATAGAAGCTATAACTCATTTAATCAGATAATAGGTCAAAACTACTATTAAAAGTGGAAAGAATTCAATAACCGTCTCCAAAATGGATAAAAAACCAGAAAAGAACAGTAGCCAAGAAATATACGACAAATTACATACAAATGATAAACGAAAATATCCTGGAGAAAACATTGATTTTAATGACCCATATTATCGTATATCTGGGAGCATCACTGACGGGTAAATATTGTACGATTAATATTCACAACATTGTTAAATTTGTTTTAATATATATTGATTTTAGGGAGAATGCAAAATTGACAATTATTTTTAAAAATATCGAATGTAAAAATACTGCTCAAAACTTTACATGTTGCTTATTATAGAAGCTTAACTTGATTTCACAAATTTGGAGACTCTTTATATACATGCTTTAGACTACACCAACTATTTTCATTATCTCTATTATTCTGCTTATCATTGGAATCATTAGGATAACAGAAATAAATAAAATTTCCGAGATTCTAGATCATCTATTTATATTATTAGCATCAATCCATATCTAAAACTTTGTTGTTTTATCGTATATTTTTCAAAAATTACTTTTAAAAGTTTTTTCTTTTTAAAAAAAAAGAAAATATATACTGTTAGCATCAAATTTGTAGTAGGGGGCATGACGCGACATGTGGGGCCCGGCGCAGCGCCGCACGGGGCATCAATCATGCATCACTCATGCATGATTGATAGGCACA